CAAAGACGCACTTCGATTTCTGTTTTGAAGTCACCATTGTTGTTTACAGGCGGTCTCTTAGCATGTGGTCATGAAACTTGACTGTTCTTTTTGTAACGTCGTCAAAATCATCGACACTATCTCTTGTGTGTTGGTTTCCATAACCTTAACTTTATTTTTTCCACTTGAGTAATTAATTGCACAGAACTAAGGTAGAAGCTAGAACGACAACATTTGCAAAGCAAATGTACGATATTTACTTTTACTAGCTTATCAACATACTGCTCTGTTTACTCTTATTCACAAAACTTTCATATACATACATATGTCAACCACCACCCCAACTCTGTCTTCATACATAATGAAACCTAACACCACATAATGTGTGCTACAACACCAGTTACTATGGTGACAGCAGCCTTGTCCAAGTCATTGACCCCGTGTTTGGAGAAGAAATAGATCCAAAACAATAGGTTTCGTTTACAAGGACATATTTTGACATAATGTGACTAATTCTTTTGATGTCTGTGTCTATATCTATATAGATTTCAGCAAAATACATAACATTGAGCGCTTCATAACATTTTTCTAGATTCATGATTCTTTTACACAAACCTGTTGAACTTCCACACGGAAAGGGGAGACTCTCCTCAATGATAGAAGGGACTCCCGGGTTCGATTCCTGACCTGCCACCCATCTTGTGCCTTTGGGAAAGGCACTTTACTCACTTCACGTAAGTGAAAAGGAGCATTGTCCTGCTCAGTATTTGTCCTCTGCGTTGGTGACGGTATAAAATGTTGATGTAACTTAAGTGTGCCGTCACCATGTCCAGTCATGAAATGTTGGAATAAAAAAAAAATGATAGAAGGGAGAAAACATTGAAAATACGACCGTATCGTGCTATCACCGTCCTACGCGTGTTCGGTCAAGCGTCCAGCGAAAGGAACCTCTAAAGGAGGTACAGTGCAGCAGAACGTGTTGTAGCTTGCTAAATCACAATGCATGGATACGCGAAGCCTACGAATTGATCTCACGAAGTCCAGCAAACTAGGTAACACGAAAAAAGACGTAGAAGACAACGCCAAATGGCCTAAAATGGTCACAAAAGACTCTGGATGCATATGTGGGGCGTTCACAAGGCCCGTCCGACTCAAGCTACGCATGTGGTACTCTCCAAGCAGAGGTTTGGGTTTTGGGGGTATTTTTAGCGTGCTTTTAGGCTTTTTTATCGGGGTTTCTCTTTTGCACTGAATTTTGTTTCCCCACCAAACCCAACCTCTGCCAGCAGCCGAAAGCTTCAATGGGCTATAAACCGATTCACTTCAGCACATTACAGTCGTTCTGCAAGTAGGTGTGAACCAGACGCATAAATAGGCACAGTCAGCAGGAAGCGTGTGACCCAATGCATGCCTTTCTGACTGGCTAGATGTGTGATAATCCACCACAGTAAAATGCATATCCTTAATGGTAATTTGATGGTTCCCTGGGGGGAGCACTGTCACGTTTCTTGAATAGGTTTGCCCCGCCCCGGGGCGAGTGCCGGCAGAGGTTGGGTTTGGTGGAAAAAAAATTCAGTGCAACAGAGAAACGATAAAACAAAAAACGAAAGAAAATAGCTAACAAGACTGGCAATGAAAACATACATTGCCATGGCGACGGTGGTTGCTGTTAGGGTTATTGTTTGCATGGCACTGCCATCATTTCATGATTTTGAGGAAGACTTGGTACTTGGACTTTGACAGATACAGTACACTCCTCCCCTGAGTGTATAGTGAACGAGCCCCGGGGTCACAGAAAGTAGGGCCATCCGGGGCAGACAGGTCTTCAGGGTTCCAGGAATGTGGGCAGATGTGGGTCAGAGAAATGCCTGTGGACATTCCGCATGCCTGTGGACAAAATGCCTGTACAATTCCTAGAATTCTTGCGAAAATACTGTACCATTAGGCTCCTCCCTGAGACGTCGCCAAAAATACATCCCCCCCAACCCAAACCTCTGATTGGATAGTACGCGTGTGGAGGGTGGGTATGGTAGTACCGTACTGGACGAACGGGTTCGACCGGGTGTTGAATTGTGTCATAGGTCGGATTGACAGTTTTCGGACGGAAAGTTTTCTTTATTGGGTGCATGAATATGCCGTCACTACAATAAAAACATTGCATACTTGTGTGATTTGTTTATTTGTTTATTTATCGACCATTAATTTCAAGATGTATCTATAAAGATTAAGCTTCCCGGAGTCGTATTACACATACATACACTAAACCCAACTACACATGTATTTACATACCTCTACATGCTAATCTTAACTACAACAGGTAAGACTACAACTTAGTACAAGTTGTGCTGAGAGGTCAGAGGTCTGTACTTAAAAAATCATATTTACGCTTTGTCATTAGGGCAAAGGCCACCAAATGGCGCATGCCCAGAGGGCCCAGTCTGAGACCCCTTTGAGTGAGTGCAGCCAAACCAACTGAAAAAGCCTTTTTCTTGGTATGTGTGGATAAATGCTGGCATTTTCCAGCTGGAGAGTTATTTCTATTTCTATTAACTTGAAAAAACTGGCTGTTAGGGTTGCTTTGGCTGCTTGGTAGGTTCTAAAACTAATCCCATCTTCTTGTCTTTTGGTGGTCTTCAAGGGGGTCAGAGGTCATGCTGCCAGTGTTTGCATTTGCCGTGCCAGGTATCGCTGGTCAAAAAGTGAAATTTTTGGACTAAATGGACAATTTGGAAGTTGGACTACCCTGTCAATATGTGTTTGCAATAGTTGAACACTCAAGTTGGGGATTGTTGACAGCTCAGTTCTTAGATGTTTCCATATATTCCAATAGGGGCTGGAATTAGTGGGCTGTGCCCATTACATCTACCACCAAGATTGCGAGGGTTTGGAAGTGTCCATTATAGTTTTTAATTAGAAGTTTTCTGAGATTGGGTTTGTCGGGGAGAGTATAACTCGGCCTGGGATCGAACCAACGACCAATCGAATGCAAGGCGAGCACCCTATCCACTTGGCCATTGCACTAGTCAAGAAACACATTGTATAAGGTAAAACCTGACATATGATATTGTAAATATGAATAACACAAAAATTGGTCAGGAACAAAGTATAACTATTCGACTAACCCATTAATTACTAGTATGATATTAACCCTCAACAGTACACCTTCCCGGACTGATTAATCTGTACACCTGGGGTCCGCGCGGACCCCAGAACAGTTTTTTGCTAATTTTTTGAAATTATCAACATGCTACCAGCTCAATTGTTTTGCAAACTGATGTGGGAACCTCTGTGTCCACATTACATACAAAAATCATACATTTTGAACTTTTTCTATATTTTGGTGAAGAAAAGAAGACAAGAAGAAATACCCGATTTTTAAACCCATTTCAGACTGAAGGGGCTTTTGAGGCCCAACTTTGATCTCAGATAGCGGCTAAACGACTTGCGCTAGAAGTATCAAATTTGGAGACCTTTCCTAAAATGTCTCTGGAAAAAAGTTCATATTAGTTTAATACTAGTAAGTTCATGTTTTTTTGTGTTGCCATGGCAACGGGTTTCTAGCAGGCAGCTTTTTTGAAAATAGAAGTAATTTTGGTTTAAACATAAAAATTTTATATTTAATTACACTATCTATTAATTTACATATTTTATATTAAATTACACTTCTTTTCCAACATTAATAACATCTTACATAATTAAATATAAGTTAAATCATTTAATATGCATATAATATGCTAATTTGATGACGTCATTGGTCAAAATCCAATATGGCGGACTATATTATTAGCTCTGACGTCATTTGACGTCATAATTACACAAAAGTTATTAAAATTTAATTCTATTACTACAACATTCTCTGAAAACTTGGTAGACATACGAGTGCATAAAAACATTTTAAAACGGAAATAAGGTAATGTATAAGAACGCCAGTGTATCCATTATGATCGAAAGCCGGCTGGGGTCCGCGCGGACCCCAAAAGAAAATTAGATATAATTTTTTTATAAATGGTAGAAACGGAGTTTTCTGCACTGTATTGAGAGACAACTTTGTGGGTGACAATTACCTAAAATTTCAGAAAAAAATTCTTTAGAAACAAAAAAGATATTACAGAATATATAGTGCTGGGGTCCGCGCGGACCCCAGGTGTACTGTTTAGGGTTAAAAAAACTTGATAAACCGAACAATACCGTACGTGTTGCACAACGGATTACTACAAATTAACAATGTTTACAAAGTTAACAAAAACCATGTTGATAACATTTGCTGTCAAAACTTGTAATCAAAATACTGGATACAATTTCTAACAAAACTATTTGAATACTTCTAATTAAAAATATTGTTATTATTTCTACCAAAAATATATTGAACACTTCTACGTAAAAAGAATGCTGGTTATAATTTGTAACAAAACTATTTTGTAAGCACATATATGAGTTTTTAACATAAATATAACAACCTTACCCGATTATCAACTACATGATAAGAGATAAATATGTTGGTGATATCTTTTTAAAAAATCAGGATAAAAATACGTCGAACACTTTCGCTGGATCTGTTGTTTTTAAGCTGGTTTGTTAGCCAAAGAGTAGTTATAATATCAGCTGAACAACACAGAATGATTTGATTTGATTTGATTTATTGAGATGCCCTTTAGCCCCATGAGGGGCTAATCTTCCAGGGCTCATTAACAGTACAACACATAAAATGATACATATGCGTTCCTGCTTTCAACGACAGCATTCATTCTACATCAAAATAATTCTGCATCATCTACATACATTGTACAAAACTGATGTGACTGATCTGATGTACCCCAAAACTAAGGCATGATAATAAAAGAAATCAACATTGACCCTGTTATCATACTCGTCTGGTGGTCTTTGAAATAACTTCATATCTGTAATGTATGCCACAGCATAAAGCATGTAGGCTGCCTCTCCCGTTTGATTTCACGGTAGTCATACACTTTAAGGTAAGTCTATGCTCAATTCTTATCTGCATCCCTTTAAACTAACAAAGTTTACGAATCGTGCATGTTCATTGAATTCCCATGCTTGATGTGCATGTTGAGCTTTGAGCGAATTAACCTGTGGTCTGTCCAGCAGGCTGCACAGCACATAGACTTTGTTTCTCTGACATCCTGCCTGTCTCTTCTCCGGACTATCACGTAATCTATGAGGTGCCAGTGTTTGCTGCGTGGGTGCATCCACGATGTCTTGTTGCGGTTTGGTTGGCGAAATATTGTGTTTGTAATAACAAGGTCATGGGTCGCACAGGTTTTCAGCAGAAGATGACCATTGCTGTTACATTTGCCTATTCCGTTTCTGCCGAGAACTCCCTCCCAAGTCTGGTAATCTGTACCGACTCTGGCATTGAAATCGCCAAGGATAACTAGTTTATCTCCCTTTGGTACATCCATTATGAGGGCCTCGAGGTCTTCATAGAACTTGTCTTTGACTTCCTCGGGGTTAGTCATTGTAGGGGCGTATGCACTGATAAAAGTACCCTGGCACTTGCCTTTCATTGGCAGCCGGAGAGTCAGCAGTCGGTCATTCACTCCTTTGGGGAGGTTTGTAAGCCTGGACATCAGGTTCGACTTAATGGCAAACCCCACTCCAGCTTCACGACGCTCCTCACTACTGCGGCCACTCCAGAAGAAGGTATAACCTGCGTTAACTTCTGTCAGTTGACCTTCATTAGCAAACCTAGTTTCACTGAGGGCTGCAATCTGTATATTGTACCTGTCAAGTTCCCTTGCGACGAGTGCTGTTCGTCTCTCGCTTCTCTCTGCCTTGGCGCTGTCCATGATCGTCCGCACATTCCATGTGCCAATGGTGATTGGTCTCACCAACGTTTTCTTTCTTGAGTGCTTACCGCTTTGTTGGGATCCCCTCCTGCCACGGCGAACAGGCCAGGGGGAGGTGAAGCAGGCTATTTTAGGGCACCTTTTCTAGCCCCTTCCTCAGGCTAAGGAGGTGAGCAGAGCGATCCTGAAGAGGGCTGCTCAGTCACCCAGAAGGCTGCCGAACTCCACTGCTGCTTCGGTCCAGTAGAGAGCGACCACATGTCCTGGGCCGCCTGTGTGGGGGTTCGTGGCTACAGCTCCAAGTGTATCCTCACCTGCTGCTTCGCCAATTTACCCCTCGCCACAGGGCTTTAGGGATTTGTTTTGTGATGTCTTTGACTTGCGCGTGAAGTGGATTAAAGTGAGGGAGAGTTGAGCAATGTCGTCAGCCTCACTCTCTCTTCCCAGTTCCCAACCAATTCCAGTGGCAGGACAAGTGTCGAGACGACTGGGGGTGAGAAGGGCGCAGTGGATGACCAGGACGCTTTTAATGCCTTGCCCTGCTCAAAGCGCTCCACAGCACTGTGCTGTCCCCGCCTTCCTGTGGGACAGTACCCGGA